GTCATACCTTATTTCCTTTTTTGTTTTTTTCCCTTCTTTTTTTGGTCTCAGTTTGGGCTGGTAGTGTCCGAAAATGGTGAGGAAAGAGAGGGAAAGAGAGAGGCGCAGCAATGGTGGTGAAGCAGCGGCGCCAGTGGCTGTTCCGGTGGTGTCACGGTGGCTGGAACGGTTGCTGGTCAGGCAAGGTGGTGGGGTGAAGCTCGGTCGAATGAGAGGAACAAGGGAGGAGAGAGAGAGAGAGCAAGAGAGAGAGAGAGAGAGAGAGAGAGAGAGAGAGAGAGAATATGATCTTGATTTTTACTAACCCCACTACCAACCCCACTACAAATCCAATGGTCCACAATCTATTCTCTTCCCCAAGCCAAGATCCAAAGGCCCATAATTTTTCTCTCAACAATTTCCCAAAATTACAAATGGTAACAAAAAATAAATAAGCAAGATGGGGAGGCACACAGACCAAAAAAAAAAAATCGCACTACTTAACTATGGATTCATGAAGAAAATCCAGATGACATTCCTTCTACATAAAGGTCGAACATGTTCATCACCAAGTTCTCCATCATGAGATTTGCAGCTTCTACGGCGCATTATGCGTTTGAGCTCTAATCCCAGCAGAAAACACACAAAAAAACCAGAAACCGCCTGTTATCTATAACTTGATAAATGGGATTAATCATAACTTACTTACGTTCTAAACTTGCCAAGTGATACAGAGATAGACCTACTGCTTATTCGTATAAAACATGCATCATCATAATTTAAACATGAAAAGCTAACCTTTCACACCTTCCCCTCCTGCGCATTCATGTGCATTCGCTATCATTCTCCCTTCCCCGATACAGGTGCTTCGCGACATTTGATAATTCCCTCAATTGTTCAATTTGCAATTTCAAGATGTGTTTTTCATAAAGCTACTTTTCGATTTTAATTGCTCGGCGATAGAATTCTTCCTTTTGTCTCTGAAAGATCATGAGTGTCAAAAAAGACTAACATGAAAAGATACGTATTTTGAACAAATATAAATAGAATACCTTGTGTTCTTCAGCGAGTTTCAGAACCCTTTCAATCTGTTGTAACTTTAAGGCAGCTAATTGGAGTGCACGATTCTCCGGGGCGTTCTGGTGATCTCTTTTCATTCTTTTGGTATCCGAAAAATCAAAACTGCTAAACTAGATTCAACTTGATCAATATGTATATTATGACAACTAAAACCAACAAATAGAACTGAAAACACCAAAGGGAAAAATCGTGAAAGAGAAAAGTGAGAAAACGAAAACACCAACCTTTCTGTCCTCTAATGGAGAGAAAGAAGTGGGGTTTTCTCTTGTCTACGATTGTCCGAGGCAGAAGCCCTCCTATTTTTGATTGAATTGAATAAGGGTGACGCCATCATTTTTTTGGTCGTTGAAGGCCCTCCGCATCTCTCTCGCTGAGTCCAGATACACACACACAGAGCGAGAAGGAGAAACAGCCACGTGGCGAAAGCTGTTATTTGCGACAGGGACCAAATCCTCCCTCGCTTCCTTCTTCATCGCGCGAACCCTTTCTTCTCCATCTTCCGTCCCCTCGAGAGTGGCGAGTGGGCGGGGGGAGGTTGGAGAGTTTAGTGGCAATGGAGGCGTTCAACGCCCAGAATCCAGAGAAGTTATTGATCATTTAGATGATTAGTTTTAATGTATACCCCACATTTATCTTGAAATCTATCTCACTAATCTGTTAATTATAGCTAAATACCAAACTGGACATAATTCTGAAATAATTAATTTTTTTGTTAAGAGAAATGATCGGAAATATTTTAAATATAACTTTCCCCAAACAAAAAGTTCATTTCCAATGGGCTTGAAAAATACTATTTTACTAACCAATGCAAACAGACAGTAGGCAGCGAGGATGCGTTCCTTATTTTTACGTGCCGGTGCCCACACGCTTCGTACTCCCAAATTCTCACTATATCTTTTTCTTCCCGATAGGAGGGAATATCCTCTAAGAGTTTTACATCCGAAGGACCCCGAGATTCGGACGAGGTATTGAATTTAGCCTTTTAAGGACTTGATTAAGTCCGAACTCAGCTACTTTAAGCGGGTGCACATTTAAGTCAAAGTCCCTTCCTTCTTTAAATGAGCTTTCTAGATGTCAAAGCATTCATAAGCTCAGCCATATTCCCCAGCTTGATGCATGCTGGTTGATGAATAATTTGCTATGAATCTAACGGATGCAGTTTATATTTTTTTACATTCATCATTTAATTTGGGCCAATTTTCAGCATATATTTTCTGGCAAAAATACACCACAAGTGCCATAACTTGTGTACGGCGATCACTTGGTGCCATAACTTTTTTTTCGGATCACTTTGGTGCCAAGTTGGAGGAAAAGAGATCACTTTAGTGCCAATTTGGCCGGAAATCCGACGTGGCATTTTTTTTATTAATTTTTGACGCTGATGTGGCTCACCGGAGGCTGAGTTAGCGTGTACAGTCATCATTTATAATTTTAAATATTTTTTTTCCTTTTTTTTTCTTCTTTCCTTTTTCTTTTCTTTTCTTTTTTTTTCTTTTCTCCTCTTCAAAAAATTGTGTTAGGTGACTGGAATTAATGAGTTAATGAGATGTTTGATGGTGTTAATTTGAAGCTAAAACAACAACGAACAAAACTAAGGAAGATGAACATAGCAAAGAGTTGATCATGCTCGTCGTAGGAATAATTGCGGAATGTTGGAAAAAGCGAAAAATGAAAGAGGCAAAGGGAAACTTAGCAAAGCGGAACCGTGTTTTGGATATGATGGACTAGGAAAGGACCGTAAAAGAAATAGAGGAAATAAAACAAAAAAAAAAAAAACTAAAAAAAATTAATTAAAAAATATAAAAATGATAAGGAACTTCAAGTCTTAGTTAGGTAGTAGAATCTAAAATAATTTAATAATTCCATAGTTTAGGTTCACTGTGGGAATCTATTCTGATTTTAGGACAATTGGTTAGATAGCTTTCCTGGAAAAAATATGAAATAAAAAATGTCAAAAAAGGAAACTCAAAAAAAATGTTATAATGGTGTGGTTGGGGGTTGATCGGCTTCATCGATTATATGCATCAATCTTTCAAAGGATCTCCTCGATTGTCTAAGTTCCTTGTTGGTCATTTCTTATGTGAACATTCTAATGCTTTTCATTGATTAGGGTAAATTTATGATTTGGACTTTAGATGAAGCCTGACATCATTTAAACTCTCACTTTCTTCCTTGCAAAATTTATATTTAATGCCAAACGAATCTAATGTGTTATGTTTTTATGTATATCACACTATGGTTTTGATAGTTCCACCACCAGAGCAATGCACAAGCAGTAAGCTAATATATATGTATAGTGTATACAAATAAATTTTTTTTAACATGCATATTTATTCATAAATCTAACAACCCCAGAATTAAAGCTCAAGTTAGATGGCATCACATTGTGTCAGTTCATATTTGCAGACGAGCGCATATGGCTTCTCCAGGACACGAGGATGAAAGCCGCTTGTTGAGAGAGATTCGACCGGTATTTTGTGTATAATTCCTGCTAGTTCCTCATTAATGTTTTATATGACGGTAGACCGATTTTTTTTAATCAAATTGCATTATGTGATTGAATTGAATGTTGCATTCATGATTAGAATAATGGAACAATTATTTTTGGGATTACATAATTGGAGACAATCCAAATTATGTTTGATTAAGTATCTAGGGTTTATGATAGATTATATATGACTTTCTTGACTGCATTGATATGCTGTCTGAAATTAGACGGATCAATGAAGATACGAAGATATGCATTACGCATGCATGACAAGTTCACATTTAAATTAAAGAAATATCGTTTTTGGAAAACACTTTTCTACTTTTAAGATATGTTCATCCAGCTTCGTAAATAGAATGGTGGTAGCCTTGAGGAATATAGCTTCGGATGAGCAATGGTGGTTGTATAAGAATTGTCAACTATGGGTTGAGAGTATGATAAGAATTGTCAATTATGCAAGAATACCTAAATTTTTTAAAACATTATATGAGATATTCTATATGCCACTGATTGACTTACATAAGGTGCCAACTGACTTTGCAGGTATCAGCACCCATAGCTAGAGATTCTAATGTGAACAAGACCATTCAATCGGAGTTGATTGAGAACTCCAATCCTCCTACATAGGCACAGCTAAAGTACGCCTTAAGATGCACCCTGGTAGCCTCCCTCACCTCATTTCTGCTGGGCTTTGGTAAGTCCTCCCCCACACTCTCTCTCTCTCTCTCTCATGAGAAGACTTACCCTCCGGTCGTCCATGAAGCTTTGAAGTATATACCTGTGAATTAATTTTCCATACAGTGAATCGGTCTTTGTAGAAAACAAAAAAAAGTTAGCTATATCTTAGTCATTATTTTTTTTTTGTCTAGCTTTATTATCTATACAACTGATAGATCTATCACCAAAAGTCATATTTTAATGAATAGGAAATAAAAAAAGAAAAAAAATATTACTTAATATTGGATAACATCATCCCTGTTTTCTTTGTCCTGTTTGAGCCAATCAAGTTAATTTCTGATAAACTTCGTCGCATTTATTAATTCTTATAATTCTTATTTTATAATCACATGTATTAGGAAAATAAATTCAAATAAAATGGTGAAAATAGGGAACTTAATATTTTTTTATTTTTTCAATTTCTTGTATATGGTTATAATTTATGTGATAATGTTATAACGATAAATAATATTTTCTTGTGTTTTTTTTATTTTGGCAAAAATAGGAGTGTAGAGCGAGACGTTAACTACCATAAAGAAGGACTAGGAGCTAGCCGACAAGCATGTTGACCGACTGACTCTGAACCTCCACATATTTACACTTCTTGGGTCGGTGTTTGCAGGGTGGACCGCCTATAGGATCAGTCGCCGGTTAAACATCTTCTTGGTGGGATTCATCTTCTTCATTGGGCCCTTATTCATTGGCTTTGCTTCCAATAACTTCATCATCTTGTTAGGCTGCATCATCGCTCACGTCGGAGTCGGCTACGCCCTTACAATGACCCCCATCTACGTGGCTGAGGTCTCCCCCGCCTCTTACTGTGAGTGCTTCACCTCTTTCCCTGAGGTACTCACTCATTTTCCTCTTTGTTTTTTCTAATTTTGAGCATCTTTTTCACTTTTTTATATGTTATCATTTTTTGTCTTTTTCATTATATGTTTCGATGGTTTAGGTGTTCATTAATGTAGGCATCGCTCGCGGCTACGCCTACAATTATATGTTCTCCATGATCAATTTCAACGGTTGGTGTCTCATGCTATGCAAAGGAGCAATCTCCTTGGTCCTGCTCGCCATATCATGGTCCTCGCCATGCCGGAATCCCCCCGATGGCTCATCATGCGAGGAAAGCTGCTCAAAGCGAAGCGCATCCTCGCCAAGATCTCCGCCTCCAAGGAGGAAACTAAACTCCAATTTTAAAAATATCAAGGCGGCTTCTGGCGTCCCTCCAGAGTGGAATGATGAGCTGGCGTCCCTCCAGAGTGGAATGATGATGTTGTCATTGTGCCAAGCATCGGGGAGGGTGTGTGGCAGGATCTCCTCCGCCACCCGAGCCCATCTCTCCGCTACATGCTCCTCTGCGCCATTATGATCCAATTATTCCAAAAGGCCTATGGAATTGACATTATCCTCCTTTACATTGCTCGTTTCTTAGAGAAGGCTGGCTTCATATCCTCTGACAAGAAGATCTTATTGACCATCCTAGTCGAAGTTGCAAAGACAATATGCATCCTCGTGGCCACTTTGCTTCTTGACAAGCTCAGGCGACGGCTGTTGCTGTTGAGCAGCATAGGTGGGATGTTTGTGTCTCTTGTCATCCTCAGAACATGTCTTGTGAAGATTGACCAAATCGACACAAAGCATATTGATGACCCAAATGACATGAAGCAAATGTGGGTGGTAAAAATGTGCATCACCTCATTATTCCTTTACGTGGCCTCCTTCTCCGTAAGGATGGGGCGTTTCACTTCGGTATTCAACTCTGAGGTATTCCCACTTAAGCTGCGAGCATAGGGATGCGCAATTGCCTTTGCTGCGAACCAAGGGGCGAGTGCATTGATATCATCTATATTCTAAGTGCTGGACAAGCCGATGTCCCTCGACGGGGCTGCCTTCTCATTCGCGGTGGTCTCCATCATAGCATGGGTAGTCTACTTCATCACAATGCTGGAGACCGAGGACTGTTCTCTAGAGGAGACGTGCTACTTTTTTGGTGAACAGATCCAGCGGAGGTTTACGGTTAGCGAAATTGAAATGCAAGGGAACAACGGGAGGACGCGATCGAGGTAACGACAATTAAGGGAATAATTATAGGATAGAGGTGTCTAGCAAACATAAATGTGGTTGTCAGGGTATTTCTTTTTGAAAGATCAAACACACATCATGCATAGCTCTTCTTCGTAACATCACCCATTTAACCGAATATTGGAGTTAGTTTTAAATTCTCATCCTGCTCCATTTGACCAAAGTCCATGTCCATCTTTTATTGCCAACTCCTGGAGTACCGTTGATTCTCTACTTGACCATCCATGATGAATCATTGGGAGCCATACTAGCCCAAAAGAGATCAAGAGATGGAAGGGAGTGTGCAATATATTATCATTTGACCGATGTATGAGTATTACATCGGTTACGTCAATATACACTTCATTATCAAGTCTTATTAGTGACCGAGAATGACTCAATCAAGTACCTCTTAGAGAAGCTTGCTTTTGTTGGAAAATTAGCCAAGTGGCAAATTATCATATCCGAGTTTGATGTGTAAACTATGGCACAAAAATCCGTCAAAGGTCGAGCCATAGTTGATATGCTAGCCGAAAGTTCAAAGCAATTAGAAGGCCCTAATGGAATGGATCTTGCAGATGAACGCATTCTCTTGATTTCACAAGACAAATGGATTATGTATTGTGATGGTGCCATTAACTTATCCGGTTCGGGCATTGGGGCAGTATTTATCTCCCCAATGGGTCAACATTATCCCGTGGCCGCAAAGCTAGTTTTTCCATGTACCAACATCTCGAAATATGAAGTTTGTATCCTTGACTTACAACTTGCCATTGATATGAAGGTTAAGAGATTACAAGTCAAGGTTATTCCGCACTCATCATTCTTCAAACTGAAGGTGAATGGCAAACACGTGCTTCAAAATTGATACCATATCACAAATTTCTTGGAGAATTAATTGAAGAATTTGAAGAGATATTTTTCGAGTAGCTACCAAGGTCTGAAAATCAATTTGCCGATACTTTGGCAACCTTGTCATCAATGTTACAAGTTATGGATGGATTAGACATTGATCCCCTCAAAATTGAAATCCTTGAACGCCCGGCTTATTGCATGACAATTGAAGAAAAATCTGATGGCGAGCTATGGTATTACGATATCATGACCTATCTCCAAAAAGGCACATTTCCCGAAGGGAGTCAAATAGCTGATAGAAAGTATTTGATGAAATTAGCATCAAAATTCTTTGTGAGTGGAGATGCTCTTTATAAAAGATCCTTCGATTCGGTTTTGCTAAAGTGTGTGGATGCCAAAGGAGCCAATTAGTTGATGAAGGAAATTCAAGAAGGTGAGTGTGGCCCACACATGAATGGTCACCTCTTAGCAAAGAAAATCATGAGACTCGGATATTATTAATTGACAATGGAGACGGATTGCATTCAACACGTGCGATAATGTCATTAATGCCAAGTTTATGGGGACAAGATCAATGCTCCTCCAAGAGAGTTACATCAAATGTCCGAAGCATGGCCTTCTTCTATGTGGAGGATTGATTTTATTGGACCCATCAATCCTAAAGCTTCAAATGGGCATTGCTTTATTTTGGTGGCCATTGACTATTTCTCCAAATGGATCGAAGCAAATTCATACGCCAATGTCACCACAAAGAATGTGGCAAAATTCTTCCGTCATGATATAATTGCTCGATATGGAGTTCCCAAAGAAATCATCACCAACAATGGATCCAATTTAAACAAGATAGTGGACGAATTGCTTAATGAATTTCACGTTCGTCACTTGAATTCTTCACCATGCCGCCCACAAATGAATGGAGCTGTGGAAGCGGCAAACAAAAACATAAAGAAAATTATATCGAAGACTGCTGAGAATTATCGTGATTGGCACAAACTATTGCCTTATGCACTAATGACATATCGAACTTCAATCCGTATTTCAACTGGGGCAACTCCGTTCTCACTTGTATATGGAATGGAGGTTGTTCTACCCGTGGAGTGGAGATTCCTTCACTAAGGGTATTCTCACATTTGAAGCTTTCCGAAATCAAATGGGTTCAACAAAAATATGAACAATTTAACATGATTGACGAAAAGAGGTAAAATCTTTATGTCATGGGCAAAGTTATTAAAAGCGAGTGGCAAAGTCCTTCTATCGCAAAGTTCGACCGAGGCACTTTGAGGTTAATGATCTTGTGCTAAAGAAGGTTATGTCCAACACATTGGATCCTCGCAGAAAGTTCACCCCGAATTATGAGGGCCCATATGCTGTAAAGAAGGTATTATCCTGTGGAGCCTTACTTCTTACCGAAATGGATGATCAAGAATTGCCAAATCTTATAAATGCAAATGCTGTCAAGAAATATTTTCCATGAATGAAAGGCCGTGAAGCTATTTTTCGAGCAAGACTAAGTCACTTTTAGGTCACTTGTATCATGCATATCATGCATACATTGCATAAATACATTTGTTCATTTTGTAGGTATCAAAACATTCACAAGGAAATGGGAGGTGTTTTCTGATATGGAATCAAGCAGAAAAGCAAATTGTATATTTCCAATATAATTCTCTGACATCGTTTCCTTCCTTTTGTTAGGAAACAACACTCTTGCAGAGACCAAACTCAAAGGCGACGCTGTGTCAAGAATTATACATCGACATAATCTCCTTGCTGTCAACTACCCATTGTGGAGTAAGTGAACAAAACCTCGGAAAAAATGTTCTTTGTCAACGTTTTTCAAAAACACCTTCCAAAGTTTTTCAAAAGTTGGAAAAACAATTCCAAGTTTGAAACAAGTTTGAAAATATGATTTTGAAGAATTTGAATGGCATTCTTCAAATTATTTATTCATACATTGGAAAACATATCATGCATAAAAAATCCTCACGGAGGATAATTTAAACAAATGATTTTTTGGCAAAGCAAAAGTGAATGCTAGTCATGTCAAGTCAAAGCACTTAAGATGACAAAAGGCAAGCTTTATCCAAACACATCCCTATTCATTTTTTAGAGTTGAGCGAAAAAACTAAACATTTGTCTTAGGACATAGGATTTATTCGCATTGAATACATGAATTGAAGTGATAAAAGGTATTTCATTTCTTTATCCTAAACACTTAGGATAAAGTACCATTGTCAAGAACCACTCCACATTGAGATAAATTAGGAGGTTATGGTTGATCATTTTTGAAGTAAAAAGATTAAAAAAGATTTTATTGCTGTCACTAGCGTCAACCTTCTTATGGTAACTACAAGTGGATTTTTATGGAAGCCCAAAGCATCCCAAAGTAAAGAAAAGTATTATTTCCTCTACCTAAGCACTTATATCATTTGCTTAACCAAGTGGATCTTTAAGTATGTTCATTTTAAAGCCCAAGTGGTGATTATTTCTCCATATTGGGGCAATGCATATGATTTACCAAGAAAATTTGAAAAAATTGGTGAATATGTGAAGAGTGTCTCGAGAGTCCTAAGAGCTCAAAAGATAAATACTATGGGACATGAAAAAGCAGTGTGCTTGGTAAAAAAAAGGCAGATGTCCATGAAAAAGAAAATGCATCAAAAGCAACCTGCTTATGATGAAAACAAAATTTCAATTGCAAAAGATGCTTAGAAAAGAGGAAAGCTTTTGTGTTGCAAGAAAAAATGGACTCTCGAGACAAGTTTCAAGAGTCAAATCGCATCAAGATTCGATGATTTGGTAATAATGCCAAGATAATCACTATCTTTTCAAAATCTCTTCTACAAAATTTTAAGCCTTTTGAGCCTCATCCGAACCAACATTACAACCCTCTCAAAATCTCCCCCGATTGGAATGGTTCAAGTGAACATGAAGATTTCACAAAGAAGCTACCGCTTGAAGGAGTGGAAGCAATCCTGTCTTATCTTATCTTCAAGGTTCTTGACTTGTAAACCCAATGAAAATATTGATAACACTTCTTTCTTGACCTCAAAGTGACAATCCTTCGTGTAAACCCATGACCAAACCTACATTACGGTCCTTCAAAAGACCTTTTTGATTGATCATATTGTATTTACCGCGAATATTTCCAAAAGCCTTTGGCATAAGTTATATGAGGTATCTCCAGTGATCGAAGTTGGAATCCCACATTAATGGATGGGAATAAAAGCCTTCGTGAGAGCCATGATACGAAGACCTTTTTGATTAAGGTGCTTCAACTTGGCATTTTTAACCAACCCTTTTTGAAGATATCAAAATCATTTTGTTCGAAGTTTTCCTTTAAAGGAATGGCATTTACCAAGAGATTGATTGACAATTATTTGAATGACGTTCAAAGTTTTCATTTGATTAAATTTCTTAGTTGATTGGTTATGCAATCTTGAATGATTCCTTTTCAACAATTTTTCCAAGTGGATGCAGGTTAGTAGCTTCGAATCTTTAATATCCAAGTAATTGCAGCTTGCAGTCATTCTCAAATCAAAATTCCCCAAGTGGAGCGGATCTTCATTATCCTCTTCCTTTCTCAAGTCGACATGGTGAGTTTTCGCGCCAGTAACCTTTTCAAATCGGCATGATGTGCTCTCACAATCATGACCATCCCCTTTTCAAATTAGGCATGATGAGCTTTCGCACCCGTGACATTTTCAAATCGGCACGATGTGCTCTTGCACTTATTACCATCCCCTTTTCAAAATTAGGCATAGTGAGCTTTCTCACATGTGACCTCTTTAAATCGGCATGATGTGCTCTCGCACTCATGACCATTCCCTTTTCGAATCGACATGATGAATGTTAGTAACTGTGACCGATTCATTCCCTTTTAGTCGAAATCTGTTGTTACATGGTAAGAACACTCCTTTTAGTCGAAACCCATTTCGTACAATGGTAAGACTATTCCTTCTAGTCGAAACCCCTTTCTTATAATGGAAAGACTACTCCTCCTTTCTTTTCCTTCCTTTCATCTCCATCCTTTCTTTCCTTACCATTTACACTACATGGCCGAGAGAAAGAGAGATGAGAACATCAATGGTGAGATCAATACCAAGGCTCGAGGTAAATTTCAAAAGTACGTCTTCTAATCAAATGTCATTCATTTTGTTATTTTCCTTTTATCTCCAGTGGAGTCGACTAAATATCGCAGGTATCATTTGATCTTGGAGATGAACCTTTTTGAACTCCCTCTCAAAGAGGGGTAGCTGTTGACACTTAATTTTTAGCTGATGCATCTTGAAAGGTAAAAGCTTGAGATTAGAGTTTCGATCACGACGGAACCCAATCCTCAACCAAAAAGAGTCATTTAGCATCTGAATTAGCATTAACCATTCACTTTCTAGCTTTTTGCATTTCAATTTTAAAAAGTTAAAAAATTGACTTTTGAGTTGAATTTTTTGTCAAACTTTGACCAAAAGTCAACCCAAAGTCAAATTTTAGTTTTTTGCATAAAAAACTCCAAAATAGTGTCAATTTCACTTTTGCACAATCAATTTTCAAAACATTCAAAGTTTGACCCATTAATTGGCATTTTAGTATATAAGTACTAAAATGTTGATTTTTGATCAACACATTGTCCAAAAAAATTGAAAAAAATTCAAAACGACCTAAATCAATTTCTTTTTAGCTTTTCACTTTGGCATCATCAATTTTACAAAAATCGGTTTAAAATCAACTTTTTCCCAATTTGCTGAATTTGGTTCAAATCGACCAAAAATGAAATTAATTCATTTCTATTCATTTTTTAGAATAGTTTCCTTTACGACATTTTATCTAGAGGTCGTATTGCATTAAATTTTCAAATCAATTTTAAAATTCCAAGCCAAGGTTGAAAACCCCCAATTTTAGCCCTAATTAAAGATTCCGATCAGTTCTTCATGATTTGCGTAATTAAGATGGATAAACCTAATTTCTTATATGAAACTCAAATTCGAAATCAATTTTGGAAGATTCACATTAATTTGAGTCAATTTGACTAATTTAGTGATCCAATGATTGAGAAATCCAAGACTAATTGGTCTAATTAATACAATTCAACTTGACCCACTCTAGACTAACATACAATTTGATGAATTGAAGTTCAATTTGGCTAATTAGACTTCAATCAAATTCATTAGTCTAGTTTGGCAATGCAATTTAACTCAAATTGAAGAGCAATTGAGCCAAACAAGTTAAGATTGGTGAATTCGTACTTGTATTTCAAATTGGTTCAATCTAATTTAATCAAATTCAATTCAATTGAGTCATTCAATCATAATAAGGATGAAATTGCTTAAAATTGGAACCAAATTGAGCCAAGAACCGAACCGGTTCTACCCAGTCGAACCCCGGTCAAACCGGTCAAATCGGTTCAACCCGGTTTGATCGGAATTGAACCAATCGATCGGGCCGACTGATTCTCGGCCATAATTCCGACAAGCAAAGGCCACTTCTCTCTCTCTCTCTCTCTCTCTCTCTCTCTCTCTCTCTCATATGCTGGAAATTACAAAAATGCCCCTAAGTGAAATTACCAAAATACCATTACTTAAAGGTTAAGCAAAATTACTTAGGGGTTAAGCAAATGAGTCATGGCCGTTCATTTAAAATTGCATCATAGCCATTCATAGTACCATGTCACTTATCCTTAGCCTCTAAGGAATATTCTTAATCACTAAGGCTGCGTTTGGTAGACCGAATAAAAGTCAGGATATGATATGTTTTATCCTATCCTGTGTTTAGTGGTGGTCCAGGATAGGATAAGGTCAGATATAGACTGGATATAGCCCGGATAAAAAAATCCGAGGAGGGGGGGTGGGATAGACCTGGATAGGATTTCTAATGCCTATTTTTCCATAAACCCTACGCTTCACTTGCCGTCATCTTCATCCCCACACCTTGTGCGTTTTCACCAAAAAAATTTCTCGACTTTTTCTCCTTCACCGACTCCTCCGAACCCGTGAATAGCAAAAAAAAAAAATTTATCCTATCCGATTTTAAATCCGTAGTCCACCAAACATTGGATATGGTATGAAGAAATCCCAAGATTTCTTATCCTATCCTATCCAGTCCTATCCTGTTTAGAAATCCGGACAACCAAACGCAGCCTAAGGGAAGATTTTAGGCCATTGGATCAATCAAATGACTAGAATTCAAACTTGGGGGAGGTATATAAGGATTTTCCCACCAAAAATTAAAGGGGGCTCATTTTTCAGATTATTTTCTCTCATTCACAGATGTGTGCTTAACATTCTGAGCAATGGCGCCTATAGCATGAGCTGCAGCAACCCTCGTATCCCAGTTCTTACTACGAAGGTATTGAGCAACCTAATCAAATAATTAAACTCACAGAAGCGAATGAGAATCATAAGGTGCAAAAAACATTAGCACTTCTTGAAAAACTAATATCACAGCTGTAAGAAATGAAAATATTATTACTATTTTATGGGACATATCATACTTTAAGGATCTTATTTAACTACTCGCCAAACCTTCACCTAGCCTAGCACTTCCTGAAATCGTTATCATTATAGCACACGTAAATAGCATCTGTCAAGCACCATTTACGGCCAAAACCCTAGCACAGGGCAGCCTCAGACACTGCAGCATCAAAAGCTAATAATACCAAACAAACATTGGGTTTCTGCACCAAAAGGAGAGCCCCTATCTGGACATCTTCCTTCTCTCTTGTTTTCAATGAAATTTATGTCGCAGAAGTCCCATCATTTTACTTTCAAAATACAGCGATATTCATGCACATCGCTACTCTGCACATTAGCTTCGGCACTACCTCAAAGAGCAATATCGAACAGCACGATGTAAAAGAGCTATTCCCAAAACTTGTCATCATGCCCATATGAAATTTCTAATGCAGAACGCCAAGCTAACAGCAGCGACACATATCTTCCTCCACGATTAGATTAGATGAGTTGTCCCAATGGCATTGCAGAGAAAATAAAAATACCTTCTTTAAGAGAGAGGCCAAGTCCCGGGGATGCGACTTGGCGATATCTCCAATCTGGCGAGCCGCGGCGAACCTCGTGGACTGAGTCGAACCAGCTAGAAACACAATTTCGTTAAGGGAAAAAAGGGCAAAATTCACCCAATCAACAGCCACCAACCGAGCAAACACCAGATCCAAACAAGCACGAGACGAAAAGGATACTGTCGAGAAGAGTGAGCAGCCGATTGAGTCGCGACGATTGCTGAGCCATAGCTGCCGCACCACACACCACCAACGCAACAATGCCTTCAATCCGCAACCCGCGGCTGCATCCTCAATCATCCAATCACCCCCTGATTCGCGGGATCCCCAGCAACGGCAACGGCTGCGGCGCTCGGTATCAAAACGGCGGCTCCGCGCCAACCGCGCGGGCACTTCGCATCAGCGGGGCCACGGCGCCGGCGAAAGCGCGACCGGGTCCCTCTGGAACGGAGGGGCCAAATTCGGATCGGGGAGGAATTCGGGGAGAGGAGGGGGAAGCGCGACGACGGAGCAGCTGGGAAGCGGGGGGGATCTTCTTCAACGGAGGAGGGAAGCGGCGGAAGGAGGAGAGAAGAGGGAATTAGGGATTCGGGAAGAACCTCTGAAAATGGCGACGGTTAGGGCAAAAGGGAATATGGAAGCTCCCTTGTTCTCCTCTCCTCTGTCTCTCTTCTTCGTCGTCGTCGAAGCGTTTTCACTCTATCTCTACCCCTCGCATATCTGGTAATATAAGCTCCCGAATTTTCTTGTGCATGTGCATTTTCCAACCCAAAAAAAAGGCAAAAGAAAAATTTAATGAATGAAATTATTATTGTTCTTCTTTTTTTCAATTCGTGAAATTATCCGAGCAAATATTTTCGTGACACGAAATTTCTTTGCATCCGAATATAATCTTTGTATAGGATTCGTACTTACGTTCCTTTATAATTAGTAATATTTTAATAAATGATGAGGATTAATGGTATGTATTTCATTTGGAATTTTTGTTTTTTTTATTGCGACGGCAAATTCTTCTTGAATCCAAGACGGCTATTTTTTTCAATTAAATATTGGAGAAACGGGTTATCTATGAAGACGAAATATAATATCGTATAAGGAATAAAAATTGACGGATTGTGTATAAGATATAGTTAATAACCGATTATCTGCTATAAATAACATCATATAAGGAATAAATAATGATAGATTGTGTACAAGATATAATTAATAGCCGACTACCTGCTATAGGGTCAAATATTATTTTTGCATTGTTAAACTAAGGTTCATCAAGAAATTTTTGCAAGAAATCGGACGAATTTAGGAATAATGATACAAATGGTCCTGAATTTTGGCCAAATATGCAGTGTGCTCCCTAAACTTTTAATTTGTTCAGTGTGGTCCTTGAATTTTACTCCAATATGTAATGTAGTCCCTGAACTTTTAAATTATTCAATATGGTCTATAGACTTTTGGTATATATTCAATTTAATCTCTGAACTATATGAGAATATTAAATGTTGTCCATCTATTAATTAAGCTTAGGGACAAAATTGATCATTTTTATATAATTCAAAAACCACATTAAACAATTTAAAAGTTCATGGACCATATTACATATTGGGCTAAAGTTAGGGACCACATTGAACATATTAAAAATTTAGGGACTATATTGCACCTTAGGTCAAGCATCAGAAACCATTTATGCCATTTTTCCTTAAAATTTATTGGGGTTAATACCACGAAAGACCCCAAACTGATACACCTGTGATAAATTTAATCAAAACTATTTTTTTTGACCGTAAAAATCCCAAATTGATACACCTATGACAATTTTACTCCGAACTATTTTTTTGACCATAAAATATCAAACTAGTACACATGTGACAATTTTACACCGAATTAATTTTTTGACCACCAAAAACCCCAAACTGGTACACTTGTGACAAATTTACCCTTCGTTAGTTTCCGTTAAATTTTATTGTCAAATTGCTAAGTTTGATGACACGTGATAGTTGACGGGTGTACCAGTTTGGGGTTTTATCCCTCTATTTATCACAAGTTTACCAATTTGTGATTTTTCGTAATATTAATCCAATTTAACGGATACTAACGAAAGGTGAATTCATCACAAATGTACAAGTTTTGGATTTTTAATGGTCAAAAAATTAGTTTGGGATTTTTGGTGGTCAAAAAATTAGTTCGGGGTAAAATTGTCACAAATGTATCAGTGTGGGGTTTTTGATGGTAAAAAAATAGTTCGAGGTAAATTTGTCACAAGTGTACCAGTTTGAGGTTTTTGGTGATCATAAAATTAGTTCGAGGTAAAATTATCACAGGTATATAAGTTTGGAGTTTTTCGTAGTATTAACTCAATTTATTATATGTTAAAATGAATGGATTGTGAACAGTCAGCGGACATCTTGGCCTCTTAGATGAATTTTCAATGGTTTTAACCTTTTTCAATCTACTACTTTATTCTTACTTTTTACCTTACCTGTAAGAATTCGCAAGCAACTACCGAGACTACAACGGTTAGGGCAAACAATGAAGCTCCCTCTCTCCTTTCTCTTCGTAGTCGTCAAAGAACTCTCTCCCTCTCTCGCATATGATGATGTTAGCTCCCAATTTTTTTTTATATGCAATTGTATTTTCAACCAAAAACGGAAAAAAATAATAAATAAAATTATCCTTTTTGATAAATACTGAAATTATCCAAGCAATAATTTTCGTGGCACAAAATTTCTTTAAATCCGAATATAACCTTTTATAGGATTCATAATTAAGTTCCCTTATATTTAGTAATATTTTATTAAAAAAATAAGGATTAATGGTGTGTATATTTCACCTAGACCTTTTGTTTTTTTTATTACAACAACAAATTCTTCTTAAATCCAAGACGACTATTTTTTTCAATTAAATATTCGAGACACGAGCTTTTATGAAGACGAAAAATAACATGAATAAAAAATTGATAGATTGTGTATAAAATTTAGTTAATAACTAACTATAAGCTAACTATAAGCTATAGATGACATCATATAATGAATAAAAAGTTCACCGATCATCTACTATAGAGTCAAATATTTTCTTTTACATTGTAAACTAAGGATTATCTAGAAATTTTTGAAAGAAATAAGGCTCGTTTAATTTATTATGTGTTAAAATGAATGGAATGTGAATAGTTAGACATCCTGAAAAATAGTCCATTTGGGATTTGTAAAATACTGAGTTTTATGAATGTACTCGTAGTTAGTTCTCACCCGGAACTGATCATTCCTAGGATGCTAACCATTAGGGAAAGGCTAATCGGGGAATTAAATTCGTACGACTAAAGAAAATTCGATCGTGGATTGACTTTCGACCATTAAATCGTCGAGGTGATATTTTGAGCCACTGTTGGCCGATCTAAGGATAGTCAGGGGTCAGTTCGCCACTGTCATAGTAGTGGATCGCGGGTGATACCGTTGGACCACGAAATGAATTGACGAACGATCCTGAACCTATACCGAACGATCGTGCCCCACGGATCTAGTAATTGATCCTCGCGATTTTATTGACAACCGAAGTCGTGACGGTCTGAATAAATTGCACGTGACTCGATTTAGTGTCAGTCACGGGTCGAATAAGCGAATTTCCCCAACAAGCCGCCCGTTAGTTTGAGAAACACTCGAGTTGTGTTTAATAGAATTTAATTATTTAATTCAGCCCAAATCAGACACCGGAAAAATTTGGAAGTCACAACGGGACGTTAGGACGACGTTGCGGTTGTAGCGTGTAATTTTTGTTGCGCCCGAATCCTTCAGAAAAACTTGATTTCGATGAGAAACGGAGAAAGTGACCAAAATGCCCCTAAGAGTTAATAAAGGATTAGTTTTGTTGGACAAGGGCATTTTGGTCATCTTAGGCCCAAAGTTGGAAAAGGCATAATTACCCTTGGATATTTTTAAGTAAGATTTAATCCTAACCGTTGATTTTTAGATTGGATCGAATCTCGGCCGTCGGATTAAAAAGATTAGAGAGGGGTATTTTGGTAAATTGCCAAGGTTGGTCAAAATTGACACTATTTAGCCCTTGACCCCCTTTCTCTCTCTCCTCTCTCTCTTCTTTCCCCCCTCACCGTGAGCCCCCCTTCGACCGCCTCTTCCTCCCGCCGCCGCCGCGCCCGCCGGACCGCCGCCGCGCCGTCCACAGCCGCGCCGTTGCCAATCCGCCGCCCCCGACCCCCACGCCGTTCGTCTCTCTCTCCCTCTCGGTTTCCCCTTGGCCGTGAGCCAACCGGCCACCGCCCAAGCCACCGCCGTCCGCCCCAAGCCGATCGCCGCCGCCGGGAGCAGTTCTTCGTCGCCGCCGTTCCCGATTGAGCGCCGCCACTTTCCGTTCTAGCCGCGATAGTCTAGAACGCGGGTAAGTCGCGCTCTAAACCCGACCTAGGGTATTGGGTATTGACGGGCGATTTTTGGGCGAAATCTGGTAAAAGTTAGGTGCGGAATTGCATGAATAGGGAGTGGAAATTTTATGGCGGGCCTTAGGATTTAATTCGGGCAATATTTATTGGAAATTCGAAAATAACAGTGGCTGTGGTCTACTGTTCATGGTGCCGTGATGGGCCGATCGGGACGCGAGTTGGATTTTTAGAACCGAGAATTTATGGTGAGAAAGTCCCGTGAAGGACCGGAAGCGATTTGGCGTCGTTTGGTGGGAGAAAAATAATGATTTCTGTGTTTTACGTGCGTTTGAAAATAATTAAATTGTGGTGGTGAAATTAAATGTGTGATTGTACGATTGGTTGAGTTAATTATGTTTGTTGGGTGCACGCTTGGGCCAGATTATTTTAATTATTAAAATTGGCCGTGCTGAATGCTGAGTGAGCATGGTTTGTGTATAATTGTTGCGTGCACAGGTTACGTGTGATTGACCAGTTATGTGGCAAGTGATGGTTGCACGTGTGAAAGCATGAAAAATTGTACGTGGTACGGTATGTGAAATCGTGGAAATTGTGCCGTCCTGAGGCGTGTACGTTTACGCGGGACGATGCCCGGTATTACCGGAAGACTGCTAGCCTGAGGCGTGTACTTCAATGCAGGTTACGCAGTAGGTGGTAGATGTTGAGCCTGAGGTGTGTACGTTTACGCGGGCAAGAAACATGGCCTAAGGCGTGTACGTTTACGCGGGCCTGGAAGTGTTGTGGAAAGAGGTCGCAGTGTACCTGAGGCGTGTATGTTTACGCGGGTCACTGGCGAGGAATGTGGAGGAGATATGATGAGAACGGAATGAGTGCATGACATGAAAATTTGTGCATGCTTGCGATTGTGTTGATGTGCATGCTATGTGAGTATGTGGTGTAAGTGTGTGATTGTGTTTTGTAAAATTGTCTGGAGGTACGTGATAGCCTAGGTGGGGTTTATGGGTGAACTTGCTGAGAAGTGTTCTCATGGTTGTTTCAACCAACATTTCAGAAGCCCGACAGGAACCATGAATCCTCCACCGCCGCCACCAGAACGTTTTGGGGTCCCAGTGCACACTGAGGTTGACGCTACAGAATTTCCGATGGGAGATGGGATGACCTGGATTATGCACACTTCCACAGTGTTTATAGATGTAGGTTTGCCTCTTTGGGAAGAGCATAAGTACACTGCCTGGTTCTTCAGGGATCAAGCCGGGGATGAGTTCGGGCCCGTTAGAGGCTTCGATGTTCCGTTTGATT